ATTCGGTACTTTGAATTTAATCCGTTAAACTCATGAATCCGGTGTAAGGGTATCCGTTATATCCATAGTTGACAGTACTTACTAATTCACAGCGCGAGTTTCACCCTGTCATATAAATTTTACGTATAAACACACGAATGATATCTCAGCCTTCGTTTTGTTAACTTTTTTTAGTCTTGGAATTTATTCACATTGTTAATGTAACTAACAATTATGGTAAAATATTTGCATTTAAGTGAAGTACTCCAGGAATAAGGTCTTTTGTGATTTCTTGTACGATGGATTTGGATATTAGCTCGAAACTAGAAATGGTTTTTACAATGATTTCTTAGTAGTGAAACGTTACATTTTCAAAGTATGTGTGTCAATCAGACGAATGTTTACTTATGAAGGCAGATCTTGTATTTTTTCAACGAGTTAATCAGAGTGGATTTTAGGATTTTAAGAGATTATTTATTTGTGCACCAAGTTAATTGTCATCGTCATGTGTCACTTAAAAAGTTGTTAAAAAAACCGATAAAGAATCTGCGCGTGGATTATTCTAGAATACGATTTCCTAATTCGGGATGTTTAAACGGGCTGATTTTATTTTTCCATTTTCATCGTTTTTTTTTTGCATTGCATGAATTGTATACAGCCCTTAATTTGGTATATCGATATCTCCTGATCGAACTTCGATTTACATTCCATTCGAGTAAACCAGATAAATGTGTCAATGCGTGAAGAATTATTATCCGACGCCTTCGACCACGGATTTTATCTCTTTATGATGTAGGCGCAATAAATTCTGTTTGCCAATTACAGCTTGTAAAGCATAATTTTATAATTCGAATTAAGACTTGATTTACTACGACTCTAAGGATTGTATTATAAATCTACAATATGTAAATCGCAAGATCCTCATTCGAACTTAAATATTATGTATGAAATTAAAAGTTTATCCGAACAAAAAAGTAAAATTGAAAAGTTATAATGGAATTAATTATCATGTGACATGTTTTGTGTTGCAACTTCTTTTAGTCGCATACGCCGCTACCCGCTATCCGCTACATGCATTAAAAAGTAATTTCAGTATCACTTTACCTTGAAATGTAATCCAGCGCTATACTGTTTAATAAGCCTCGTGGGGTCATAGCTAATTTAATCCATATATTATTAGGCATAATCCCCCGTTCACTCTATCAAGATCACGGGAGGAGTAATTAATAATACCCTGACCGTGTGTGAATAAGCGGAAACGAAGTTTTATTACAAATACACGTGAATCTAGCTAGCAGATTAAATTCGACTTAAAAAGAATGCATCATAACATATTTCCAAATATTTAAAAAATACCAAATAAAGCATCATAGAATCGAAAAACTACATAAAAAATACTAAAAAAAGTACCATAGAATGGCAAAGATCGTACCAAAGGACGCCAAAGAATACATATATAGTACTAGTGTTGTCATTTGCATGCTTTGGACATGAGTTCATACATTTTAATAAAAATAAACTATGAAAATCTATTAGGACACTCTAATGTTCATGTTTAGAACAAACCAGAATATATAATCATAACGATAAAATTCTAAATATTCAAGAGTTGGAACTTGCTTGAACGTGAACGTGAACGTGATTGTGGACGTGCCAAGTACCGTAAAACGCCGTATAAGGTACCCCCCTTGATTTGTACCGGGTATGTTTCAAGGTTATTTGTTGTGGTGTTTTGTAAGAGACCCGGGTATAAATCAAGGATCGATTTAATAATGAAAATCTTTTTTTACTAATGGGCTAATATATGTTTTTCACAAGATACCCCCCATATAATATACCCTCCTCCATACAAGGTACCCGGGGGGTACAAATCAAATTTTTATCATGTGAATTGTAAGATACCCGGGTACCTTATACGGCGTTTTACGGTAACCTTTGGACATTAAAAATGTACAATTGCTTCCTGCTATGCAATTAAGTAAAACAACCAGTTTAAAGTTTTTGAAGCATTCCAAATTTAATTAAAATAAAATATACCGATACGTCGAAAACGGATTTTATATATCGAATAATATCGAATATTTTCTGACAAATACGAGAGTCGTGTGAAAAAGGTAACATCCGATAAAATTGAATTGGACATGTCTGCTGACTGTTCTCATGGTGAAAATTTGTAATCCATCCCTGCTTTGGTGACATCACCCGGGTGTGAATTAACAAAGATTTGCACTGACGCTAGTGTATATATATTAATCATTTACATTCAATTTGGCGATACTTTCCGTAGGTACCATACGTGAATGTTCTACAAAATTTCCCTGCAAGTAATTCGTGTAATCTTATATCTTATTTTGATTACAACATTATAAATTCGTTTCCTTTTGTCCTAGATTGTTTACAACGATGTCCATGGCACATTCTCTTCTTTACCTCTTTCCTAAGAGTCAAGACTTAATTCAATATTAAAAAAAGATGCCTATGAGTTCTTTACCCGTAGATTGTGTTACGATAATATTAGAGAACTTACGATATGAACCTGGTTGTCTTTTTTCCTGTCTCTTGATCAATCGTAGTTGGTGTCGAGTAACGGTTCCAATTTTGTGGAGTGATCCTTTTAGTATTTTTGGCGAAAAATTCGGCCGAAACATTATAAGAAGTTATCTTATCTGTTTAGATTACGAAAATAGGATGAATTTAATTAAAAATGGAATCAATATTTCCCTCTCTGAAAACCCGCTCTTTGGATATCATAAATACTTACAGTTTTTAGAATATGAATTATTAAATCATTTGGTTCGGTCTTGGATGATAGAGAATGAGCATTTTAAGTATTTTGACATCACCTTTTATGAAGAAAGCTCCGTTTCAAAAAATCAATTCTGTCTAATAATGTCTATATTGTGCAAGCTCTTTATGGAAAATTGTTCAATCAAGTCATTTCGCTTGTCAAAATCATGGAGACATCTTGATATACCTGATATATCAGTGTTCTCATCAGGAAATCTTGGTTTAACTAAAACTCGTGAACTAGAAATTTGTTTCACAGAGGATGAATCTATAATGCCAAATACCGCAAAACTTTTAAAACTTTTGTCTTCCTTGTGCACTGAGCTCCGTAGTTTGTCGATAATTTTACCAATGACCACAGATTTGAGAGATATGAGTGAATTTTATGATTTGTTTAAGGCACAACGTAATCTTAAAAGGTTTAAATTATGTTGGTCTCGTCAGATTTTTGATAATTTTCTCAGAGTAATGAATTCTCAAGTTAATACTCAAATTAATACCACCTTGACCAGTCTTCAATTACATAGAATTAAATTGGATAATCTTTCTCTAGATGCTTTAGAATTCTGCAGTTGCCTAAAAACATTCAAAATCATAAACCTTTGTGAGGATCTTACATTAACCCCACAATGTCTTTCTTCCTCATCTGTTTATTTTTTCAAATCTTTTTACTTTTGGTCAAATTGTAATATGTCCGCTCAATCAACCGCAGCTATTATTAAAAAAGCTGGTCGGTCATTGCAAAAGTTACATTTAGATCTTATCACAAGTGATACAGTCGATGCCATTCTTAATTATTGTCCAAATATTTCTATTTTGAAGATTTACAACAAGGACGATAATGATAATATTAATCTTTGCAAGTTATTGAGCGGTATGAAAGGAATGAAATTGAAAAAACTTGACTTGATTTTTAACTCAGCATTTACATCGAAACTTGGTCGGATATTACCACTTTCTTTGGATTCTTTGACGCTCCTTGACGTCAATCCTACCTTTTACAAATTTCTTGAAGAGTTTTTAAATGGTATCCAGGCTCAACTATCAAGTTTAACAATTTCGTTTCTCGGAAAATGCTTACCTGAAATTTTAAAAGTGATTCGAGATTATGTCAAGTCAAAGAATGTATTGAAAACTCTTAATTTTACATCACATCCTCTTAGGTATATGTGTGAGAAAGAACTAAATGATATATTGGTCATGAAACAGGAGCTTCATGAAAACGTGAATGTGTTGATTGATTATTCCAAGGACTATTATAATCTTGAAATGGCAGCATAAATCTTTAAAAAGATCATATAAGTATATTTTTTTAAATATGTAAAAAATTTATTTGCACAACAACTATTTAAATAACATAGCATTTTTCTTTGCATTTACCTTCATTAATATTAACTTACAATAATTGTTTCATCATCTAATTTATGCAATTTTTATTAATCATATTAAGTTTATTGTATACCAACTTTGAAATTATGAAAAACAATAATCAAAAATAAATCATACTGAAAAAAATACATTTATTTCTATTAGCTTTAGCAAACACGTTTATTTAGAGACTTTTTTTTGATACGTATGTAATGTGTAATATTTGAATAGCGTTGGGTGAAAAAGAGTATCTTGACGACAAAAAGTTTTGTTTTTTTTTATAAGGCAGGCATACTAACTAAAATAAATTCGACTACGAAATAATTATAGTTTATAAAACGGTGGATAACGAGACGGATGAGAATTATCCGAGAATTTGCCCAAACTATACTATACTATATACAGTATGTCATTATAACTAAAAATTTTTTTTATTCTTACACCTAACCCTAACCCAAATGCCAAAATAATTTACAAATTTCCAACATCCGAGCCGATTCTGAATCGGGACGATTCCAATCTGGAGTACATGTTATAAAAAAAAATTTGAACTTGACGGATTAAGATTATTTTTAGAAGATTTCTCACACTAAGTCGTTCGGATTCGTTCACTAGTTCACAATATTTCTTTGTCTGAATAGTACAGTTAGAAAAATTTCAACCTTAGTGTAAGCCTCTTACTAACACTGAGGACGATTCACGGCTTAATGCAAATACATATCGATATTAATCAAATTATCAAAATTATTATAAATGCTACTATCAACTATCCATGTAACGGAAATTTGTGTAGGCCAAAACTCCGTTATATAACATATTTATAACGGGAATGGCTACGGCTACAGCCGGCTATAGCCGGAAATAGCCATAGCCAATATTAGCCAAGCCGAGCAGCTTAGCCAGCCGGCTAAATTATAGCTAATAAATCATATCGGCAGGTCTACATCATCTGATAAATAGAGGAACCGATCGTTCATAATTCTGGTCAAATTTGCAGATCATTTAGCCAGATCTATAACA